AATTTGGTTTGGACCACCTATAATTAGAGAATGAGCATTTTGATAATATTTTTTAAGTGAATATTTATAGATTTTGTTAATTAATTCGGACGTGTATATTACTTTTCATAATTTTTAATAAGAACATAGAAGACCCACCATATTAAAAATCGAATTTATACTTCTATAAAATAAAAAATTATAGAAGTACCAACCATTTAAATAATATTTTTAAGACAGAAAACTTGAAAACTATAGGTCTAATTAAAACTACCATCAATTAATAATCCCCTTAAGTATATATAATGCCTAAAAATTCTAATATATTTTACATGAAAATATGATAATATATTTAACATAATTAAAATTAACTAAACAAATCTTTTTAGGAAAAAGATTAACTAAATTTAATTAATACAATTGTTATATATACTTTTGTTAGTTCCAATAATTTTTTTTATTAAGTAAGTGATATTATTTTTTTAATTAGACCAATTAGTAGAACCTTTAAGTACATCAGTTTTAATTTAGCAAAAAAATTTAATTAGATAACACAGTTAATTAAATGGGTAGCCGAACTTTTACAGTATAATTTTCAGTTTAGTACTTCTAATTTTATAAAAAGTATTAGCTAATAAAATTATAAATATGTGACTTTTAATCATACTGTTTAATCAAAATAAAATACTTAATTAGAGAGTTAGTAGAATTTTAATTAGTTGTTTCAGTTTCAGCAAAATTTGTAGTTAAGATGTTCAAGAAAAAAAAAATTATAATATTAAAAAAGAAATTATAAGGGCCCAAAATGCAGGTAACAAAATAATATTAAAATTTATTAATTTGCGAAAGTAGTTTAAAATTTCGGGTTACTTTTCTTATACAGTTTAATTGAAATGTACAATAGAATTACGGGAATGTCAATTGAAAAATATAAAAAAATATATAAATTGAAAACCTAAGTGATCAACCTCCGTTGCGGAACTGGAAAAAATGGGAGACAACTTTTTTGCTAATTTTCTTGTTGTTCAGAATCTGGATCTTGGTCATCCTGATATGAAATTGTTAATAATAAGGGAGTGAGCTACACTAACTCAGTAAAAATATCAATACTTTGCTACTGATATAGAAAAATTAAAGGTTTGTAGAACTCATAAAATAATCAATGAAGCTTATTTTTTTTTAAGTAAATTCATTTAATATAGAAATTATTTATTCCTTACTCACATTTAAGTTCCTAGAAACCATTTATGAAGGAAAGAAACAAAATAGCAACACATCATACCTTTTAAAATATTAACAGTAATTAAACTTTACCTTTTTACTTATTTACCAGTGTCGTTGGAGGTTCATAGGAATTTCCACTACACGTGAATCAAGTATACCTTCTATTAATCAACTGGTTGTCCCCATACCCCATAGGGTAATGGGCGTCAAATATACAACCGCTTCAATACTCTGTTCGGTATTAGCGTAATAAAAACAACTCTCAATCTCTTTCGATATGGGATTTCTCAGCCCCGTTCAACTTAGAGTAATATCCATGGTAGGGTTTACCCTATGTATCGGATCCGTATTTTGTGCACCAGCTGGGTACAAAAGAAAATATATATATATATATATAATATATATTAATTAATTAGAAAAAAAGATGAATGTATAGAGAAGGATAACAAACCAAATGACAAAATATATGTATATATATATATAATGAAATAGCATAAGAGAAAAAAAAAAGAA